TCCTGACCGAGCCAAATGCCGGGCTCAGCAGCTGCGAGGGAGTGAGGAGCGCCGTGGGTGAGCGGGCCCTCCCTGGGTGCTACGGCATGGCGTGCCCACCACTGGTGGGGGGCCTGCTGCTGCGGGCAGCAGGGATTTAGGTGGTCTGCAGGAAGGATGTGGGATATCCCTGGGGGGATGCAGGGACTTATGGGGTCACTTACGGCAGGTGCCAGGGAGGTGTCAGTGAGCGTGAGGCCTTCCAGGTCAGTCACCAGGCTGGTGGAGACGATGCTGCTGGTGGGGACGGGCTGGGGAGGAGGAGGGGTGACTGCGGGGTATGGAGGGGGTGAGGAAGAAACAGTTAGCAGAGCCCTGACAGGCCATGGTCCCATGGGGACAGTGCAAGGTGACAGACATATGAGCCTAGCCCCATGGGGACAGCTCCATGGGGACAACCGCACAGGGACAGCCGCACCGGGACAAGAATATGGGCACAGCCCCACGGGCACACCTCCGTGGGCACAGCCATGTGCCCCACAGCCATCCTTGGGGACAGGGGCCATTGACCCCACTGATCCCAGTCCCCATTTCTGGCTCAGCAGCACCCCAAGAACCCCTGAGCTCTGCTGGCGTGAGAGGCCTGTGCCTCAGTTTCCCCAGGGATGCAGTAACGCCTTGTCTCAGAGGCACCCCCAGCCTGGCCATGCACCCACTGGGGTGGCCGGAGTGGGGCAGACGGGGTGGCAGGACCCCTGCGTACCCCGCAACGAGGGCAGAGCCGAGCCCTGGCCCTGCGGCAGCTACTCACAGTCATCCAGGTCGAGCAGGGAGATTTCCTTGGGGCCCACAGCATTGGCCCTGGGACTGGGTTTGGTGCTGGCAGGCTAGAAGGTGGCAGAGAGCCATAGGGTGAGCAAAGGGGCTCAGGCCAACCCCACGCCACCATGCTGCCCCCATCCTGGCCCTCACCGCCTTCCTCTGCTTGGCCTCCACCTCCGCCGGCGACTCCTGCACCTCAGAGCCTGACTCTGAGTCCGATGAGCTGCTCTCGGAGGCGCTGGCCTCCTCGGACGAGGTCTCGCCGCGGCCCTTCCTCACCTGTTGCTGCTTCTTCTTCTTGCCCTTCTTCACCCCTTCCTCCTCCTCCTCCTCACTGGGGCTGCAGGGAGAGGCCAGCTCAGACTGGGCCATATCTCGAGCATGCAGATTCAGCTGGGGAGACCCTGCCTCAGTTCCCCAGCCCCGCAGGACATGGTGTGCAGGGTACCTGCCAGCGCTCTCCAGAGATGCTTTCCGAGGGGCTTCCTTCTCCTTCTTCTTCTTCCTCTTCTCCTCTTCCTCCTTGTCCTCCGATTGGTCCCCGCTGCCCTCCTCTTCCTCCTCACTGCCAGAGCTGGAGGTGCCCTCACTGCTGCTGCTCTCACTCTCCTCGCTGACGGACTCCGGCTCTGTGAGTAGGCACATCTCAGCCCTGCCGCCACGTCCTGCTGTGTCCTGCATCCCCCTGCTGCGTCCTACCACATCTCGAGTCCTCCCAGAGTGTTGCACCCTGTCAAGGATCCCCCTGCTGCGTGCCACATCCCCCTGCCATGGCGGCCTGTGCCCAGCCTGACACCCCACTGTGCTGCCTGGGCCCTCACCGCTGTCCGCTGACTCCGTGGGCCCTGACTCGCCCTCTGAATCAGAGTAAAAAGGTTTCTCCACCTTTTCCTTCCTCTTCTCGCGGCTGGTGCACTTGGTCCATTCGGGAACCTGCCAGGGACAGGGGTGATAGAGCAGGGCTGGTGCCCATAGGTGCAGAGCCCAAAGAGCTACCCTTGCCTCCCTCCTGCCCCCACATCAGGCTGGCCACACATGCCCCTGAGCACGGCAAACTGGCGTACGGACATCCACGCACACGTGGCGTGTGAGAGAAGACAGCAAGGCACCGGAGCAGCCCCTATTGGGGCTGTCCCAAAGCCTGCTGCAGCTCCCCAGCAGGGAGGTGCTTCTTCCCCGCAGAGCAGGGATGACATCACCAAGGTCCTGGAGCTCTTTCACCTTGGCTCCCAGTGTCCCCCATCACCCTGGCGGGCCCTGGAGAGCCCTGCACTGCCCCACATTACCTCCACGTTCCTCACGGAGGGGTCAGGGGCCTCATCTGGCCAGCCAGGCAGCTCTTGGTAGCCAACTGCCTTGGCGTTGAGCAGGTGGGACAGGGAGCCCAACTGGAAATGGTCCCGATCTATGGCAGAACAAAGAGTTGGGGCAGCTCCAGCGCGGCCGTGTGCTGCCAAGATAATAGCTCTCCCCAACCACACCCCCAGTTCCCATGTCCCCATGCCCTATGGCCAGGGCTGATACCTTTGAAGGAGGATTCCAGGATGGGAGCAGGTTTCTGGGCCAGGAAGAGCTTCTTGGCATATTTGTTGAGGGCTCCACTCTTCTCGGTGGGCACAATGAGCTGGCGAATGAAGCGGGCCCGGTCCCGGATGTCGTAGTTCTGGTCATACTTGGCCAAGTTGAGTACATACTGGGTCAGCAGCTTGCTCTGCACAAACAGGCACGCTCAGGGAAAGCTTCTGCTTCCCCAATAGGGAAACTGAGGCAGGGCCAGGGCCATCTCAGGCCTGCACCATGGGCTGTGCTCACAGGAAGCCCGTTCGCCAGTACCTGCTTAGAGTTGGTCAGGTAGAGCTTAGCTGCCAGGTTGATGACCTGCAGCTTGACAATGTCCTCCTCGTTGGTGAAGGACTTGGCCATCTTGCGCAGCACGTCGGGTGCGATCTTGGGCACGTGCTCGCAGTACTCGCCAATGAGCCACAGGATGCTGGCCCGTGCCATGGGCACCTGAAGGATGGCCATAGGCACATGGCACGGCTGCCTCCCAGCCTACGGTGCTGAGCCTGTGCACCCGCTGGCCCTCCACCAGGGTGGACCCTGGCCCCGGGAGCTGTGTGGCGTCCCAACCCACCTGGATGTTGTCAGTGAGCTTGGCCATGTGCTTGATGATCTCACTGTGCTGGGCTGGCTGCATCTGCAGCAGCTTTTTGATGACCACCACAGATTCGGCCACGACCAGCTCTGCAGGCAGAGAGCTTGTGTTAGCAGGGTCCTGCCCTGAGATCTCCCCCTCCAAGAGTGAGGGAGCCTCGTTTCACCCCGGCCACGCTTGCTCACCATCCCGGTTGGAGAGGAGTTGGACCAGGCCATTGAGGCAGGTGTCCCGCACCTTCCCAATGTTGGTGGCACAGCGCCCGATGGCTTGGATGGTGGCTGCCACAAAGTCTTTGTCCATGCTGCGGATGTAGGTCTGCACAGGCATGTGGAGGGCACATTACCCATGCACCAATGCTGGGCATCCCCCTGCATGGCAGCTGCATGCCAGGAGTTTTGGAGATGATGCCATACTTGAGATTGGCATGCCCAAAGCCCTCTTCTCCTGGTGGGGCTCTCCCTCTATCCCCCCATAGTGCTGGCACCTGGAGCCATGCCGGAGTGGCATCTAGGTGGTCTTGATGTGCCTGTGGCCCCAGCATACCTGAAACTCCCGCAGGATGGTGGAGATGTTGGTCTCATTGGCCAGGTTGGTGAGGACCTCCAGCTGTGGGAAGGAGGGAGAGAGGGGCAGTGCAGGGACACAGAGCTGGGGGACTGGGTCCCTGGCATCCTCCCATTCCCCCACGGAGAAGGGGCCCCAGGCTGGATCCTAGGAGCCTTGAAGGCCTGGCAGGGGTTTGGGCAGTGTGCTGGGCTGCCAGCAAAGGCTCTAAGCCAGGCTTTTCCAGCTTACCTTGAGGATCTTGATCTGTGTGGGATCTGTGGAGCGGATGTAGAAGCTCTTCAGGTAGGGCTCGAACATCCCCTGTGTGAAGAGCCAGCAGTGTTAGTGGCATCCCTAGTACTGGCTGCCCAGCTCATGCCAAAGCCACCCACGGGCAGGTGATCTTGGGGACCTGGGCAGGATGCATGCTGCCTCCCAAACCCTCAGTCAGCTCCAGAGGCAACGGGGCTGACCCCTCCTGCACCAGGAGCTGAAACTCACCCTCCGTTTGATGGACATGGTGGCCACGTTCTGCAGCACAACATACTGCACCTCGCTGTGGGACGGAGAGGGGGAGTAAGGTCAGTGAGGCCAGGACCAGCTGCCCTCCCAGCACGTCCCTGCACAGGGGAGCAGGACCCACCACAGCCCCACGGTTCCCACAGGCCAGGGTATCCCGGCAAGTGGGCTGAGGGACCCTGGGGGGGACTGGCAAAGCCTCGGTGCTGCAGACCTGTGGCTCCGCAGGAGGCGCACCAGCGCCTTGGCAATGACGCCAACCTCAGCCTTAGGCGCCAAGTGGAAGTAGAGCTGAGCCACGGCCATCACCACCTGTGGGGAGACAACTGTGTGTCACCTGGTGGGCACAGGGACACCGTGGGGGACACACCCACGGCCCCTATGCCACAGATGTGTCCCTGCACTAGCCCAATAGCACCCCAAAGAAGAAAATCAAAATCTCCCTATGTGGACACCCACCACATTTCTCCTCCCAGGGGGTCCCTCAAGGTCTCACCAGCACCCTGGTGGCACCATGGCCACCAGGGAGGTCATGAGAAAAGGTGCTAGGACACTAGCTGGTGGCCATTGGCAGCCAGGCTGAGAGCCATGCTGGGGCTAGGGGAGATGGGACAGGGCTCCCTGAGGGGGTGGCTGCACTGTGGGACTCACTGCGGCGTTGCGGCTCTGCAGCAGTGGTTTGGTGTTGCGCAGCAGCAGGCGGTGGTCAGGGTCCATGACGTAGGGCTTGCGCTTCGCCAGTGAGGCGGCCTCTGCCTTGGCATCCTTGGCGTCCTCCTCATCGGAGCCGTAGAAGGCCTTCTCTGCGCTCTCTTCCAGCAGGGACTCCTGTTGGCACACGGGATGCCTCGCAGCCCCACTGGGAGGGAGGGCAAGGCGCCGGCCCAGCTGCCTGTGGCAGTGCCCAGGCTGGCTCCCCATGCTGCCCCAGCCCTTCATCCCACCTCCCCATCACCCTCATCTCCGACCACGTCAGTGGACCACTGGGATGTGCCTGGACCTGGACATGGGATGATGGAGCACTGCCTGCTCTGGGGGCTGTCTGGGGACCCCTGAGACTCCTCCAGCGGCAGGTGCTGGGCCCCAGGTGCTGGAGGGGCTCTGGCACGGCTGCGGCACCGGGCGGCTGCACTCACGTTCTGGTTGGGGCTGAGGAACTGGGTGCGTGCGTAGCGTGTCAGCATGTTGATGATCACCACTTGGCCCCACTCCTCCACATCGATGAGCAGGTTGCAGAGCTTGCGGTAGTTCTTGTGGATGAGGTCGATGCGCTCAGGACAGACCTCCTCGAATGCCATCACCACACTGCCAGCCACCAGCTGGAGACATAAGGCTTGAGGGTAGCTGGAGCACTGGGCACTCACTGGGGAGGGCAGCATCCCTGCGTTTTGGAGCAGGGGAGATGGGGCTACCCACTCACCGTGGTCTTGTCTGCCAGCAGCTTCTCGATCACTTCGATGAGCTGGTCCTTCTGGTCTGAGTCCAGGCTGTGAGGGGAGAGCAGGGTCGGCATGGACAGGAGCACGTCACAGCTGAGCCAGTCCCATGGGGCTGGCGCTGCCTCGAACTACCCCATTCCCCAGCCGTCTGCCCGCCAATGCCGAGCAGGCAGGACCCCAGCACTGTTACCCCAATGTTGCAATATAACTGCAGGAAGAGGTACAAATCTTTAAACGAGTTCTCCTTGTCCTCAGCATCACCACGCCACCCCATGGGGCCCCAGTCGGCCCACAGCCCCCCATTACCTGTACAGTTTGGGGATGGCGTGGGCGGCCGTCTTGCGCACATATGGGGACATGTCCGATGCCGCCTCCTTGATGGCCAGCATCATTATGGGCACGATGATGGGCACGCGGATGCTGGAGAGGACCCGCAGGGCACTGGCACGGATCAGCTGGTTGGGATCCTGCAGCAGACATGCACAGCACTGCAGTGAGTCGGGATGGGCTCTTGGGCCCCACCAGAACCCTCCGGGATGGGGCTTTTGCCAGGGGAAGGATATAGCTGGAAGTCCCCCGGGGCTGCCCAACCCCACTGCAGCCTCCCGGCCCCAATTTTGCCCCCCAAAAGGAGTCAGATCGCCTACCTTGAGTCCTCGCTGGAAGGTGGAGATGGAGAGCAGGGCCAGGTCCTGCTGCTCCTCAGCGTAGCGCACCAGGTACACATACACCAGCTTCTTCACCTGTGGGCCGCGTGGCAAAGGGTGGCCAAGGTGGCAGACATCCCGCGGCACAGGGCCTCCCCCAAGGATTACACCAGGACAGCTGCCACACCAGGACAGCTGCCATCACCTGGTGCCTCCATCCCACCCAAATTCAGGCCACGCTAGCCCTCCCCAAAGCCTTCCTAATGCCAAAGAGCATCCCTCCAGGGACCACTCCAGACCTGAGGACATCGCTGGGTGTCAGCCCCTTGCTCTCCCCGCAGCGGGGTCACCCGGCAGTTTCTTGCCACGGGCCATGCATGCAGCGGCTGAGATCTGCCTCACCTCGATATTCTTGCAGGCCACATTTTTGACGACGGCTGGGAAGAGATCGGAGGCATTCTTCCCACGGGCGATCATCTAGGGAGGAAGGAACAGCGTGACACCAGGCACGCAGCCTGAGCGAGCCCACAGCATGGAGTCGCCAAGCCCGTGCCACGGCAAAACTCACCGCCACAATCCTCTTCATGGCCTCCAGTTTGAGCGAGTCCTTGTTGCTATCCAGCATCTCCTTGAGGTCATCATGCCTGTGGAGCACCCCATGCACTGAGGAGCTGGCTCTTGTCCCTGGCAGCCCTGGCTGTCACCCAGTGCCCACCTTGGAGGGTCCCCATGTGCGTGCTGGGCACCCCACAGCCTCCAGCACCCGCTGCCAGCACTTGCCAAAGGGTAGCAGAGTGACCCTTGGGTGCTCAGATCGAGGAGAACCTCAGCTGTGGGACAGCTTCCCCCTCAGGCATGTGGAAACGCAGGAAGGAGAGTCCTGTTTTCCATTTTATTCCCTCTTCCAACCTGCTCCCAGCCTGGCTCAGGGTTTCCCTGGAGGCAGAGGGCACTAGCTTGGCTTTACCCCCTTCCCATGGTCAGGCTGGGGCAGGAGAGGTGCCTGCGCCAGGCTGGGAACCCAACCCACAGCTGCTCGTGAAATATTTATCTGGGCAGGAATTCAGTTACAGGCACGTGGAAAAGGACGCCGCGGCCCTGGGAGCGTTGCTGGGGCGACTCGCATGGGCTGAGGTTGTCACTCGGGGCACTGTCAGCTCCTTGTCACCAACATCTCTTTTTATAAGGCTGGCTGGCACAGCTGTCCCCGCGGTCCCCGAGCTGACCTGGCGACATGGCACCGCTAGGCTTGCAAGGCTACATCCAACTGCAATGGCCCCTTCCCAAATTGGCCGGTGGGGATGGGAGCTTTCCCAAAACAGCACCGATTTGCACCAAAAGCACCTGAGCATTTGGAGAAACGGTGAGCTGAACGCTCTCCGTCAGTCCTCGCCATCCACGAGCGCACACCGGTCGCTAAACGAAGCGTTACGTCCTAAAACAACT